AATCGCTTCCCAGATTTCTCTGTTTCACTAACTTTTTGGTTTTTTTGTTTTTCTTTCCAAGAAGTAGTTTTCTTCCAAGTCCCTCGTCATTACATGCAACAGCTCCCTATACTCCCAGTCTTTGCCTCGTAGTTTCCCTATTTCGTCATCAAGTCTTGCGGCTATATTTGTTATTTGTGTGTCATTTAAATACAAACTTCAAAACTTTGATTCTATGTTCAGAGCGTAGTTTTAAAAGGTCGCACACCTCAGAGAAAGCCGGAGTAGCACATTGGCTCCGGGCGAGAAATGGAAGACCGGGTGACATGTCAGGCATCTCAAAGTAAAGGAGGCGCTGAATCCGTGAAGCCATTTTAAATATACTGTTTTAATGTTGAATTCGAGGCTCTGATTTATTAATGTTTGAGAAACAGCACATAAACGAAATATGCTCTATTTTCGGAAAAAGACATAACTTCATCCCCATGCCATTCCGGACAAAATGTGCTTAATTAAATTCCCACATTATTCCTCCAAAAAGTTTCCTACAGTACCTAGACAAGAATCTGGCACTACGATTGTGTACCTCCATGGGAATTATGGAAATAAAGGCTTCGGATTGGATAGAGTTAGATAGACATGTATACGGACTTTTTTCTATGGTTACAGTTTCGTTCTGCGCGGAACCCTTTGTTGTTCAATGACCACTAGACGACCACTAGACGTCCTAATTTGCTGCGACGTTGGAGCTTTACGAGTAAGACTTGACAGTTCAAACAAAGCGTCGTCCACTCATTGCTGCACATAGATGTAGCGTCTCATGCAAATGCAGGATATTGCATCGAGTTTGTTTTTTCACAAGCGCGTCTTGCTTAAACTCGTTCGAATCGACTGCAAAACGAGGGCAAAGCTAAGCAGATGCGCCGTCATGCTCCTCTGAATCGACTTCAGAACAAAACGAGAGGTGCATTTGGGGAAGATCACTTGGACCGACACACCCAGAACATCGTATCGGGCGAACCATTAATCTCACTTGATACTGTACTGTTATATCCATAAATAGATAATACAAACTTTTGAGAGAAAAAGAAGCATGGTTGTTTTCAAGTGATGTAGAAAATAAAAATTAACTCATTAATTCTTGATGCCAAATCTGGATTGCAATGGCAGAGCGATGCATACCCTGATGGTTGAATTTGCCCAGGTATCACTTTTGCCACCTGGTCACGAAAAGTTTTGGCAATAAAGTTTGAATATAAATTATTGAAGGAAGTTTCACTTATATACAACTTCATATCACTTTGTTTTACACTCGGAAAAGAAGCGTCGCGAATCTCAAGAACGTAATCCATCCGAAGCAGATTCGAAGCCTGTACTTCCCATAATTCTCATGGGGGTACAAGCGCCACTGAAGGAGCCCGCGTGAAGTCCCTGAAAAAAAACTTATGTAGCGGCTTCCGTGTCAATGTACAGGCTCTTCTCCCCTCGCATGCATAGCAGATATTAAACGACCGTAGTTGAAGGTAGAGGTGTGTGCCAAGGGGTTGGCGCGCCGCCGCCAACTGTTTTCGCTACACCGTTGCCACGCACACCGTTGCCACCAAACAGAAACGATCCGCACTGTAGTCGGCAGGCTGAGTAAGGTCAACAATATTGGACGAGACGGTAATCACTATAAATTAAGCTAGTGTGAACTGCTCAGTGGGCTAGTGTGGGCTTGTATTTTCAACGTGCTTTGTCCTGCACACTGTGCGATGCTCCACGCCGCGCTATCACACGAAGTAATCTGCCTTTCCTTCACCAGTTTTTATCTCAGACTTAATTCAATTCCCTATAGATGCCGATTTGTCACAACCGTGTTTAAAAAAGGACACCACATATGTAGCTGGCTCGGCGAGTTGGTTTATAAAATTTTTGGAAGAGCAAACTAAGGAGCTCAACCTGATAGGACATCGAGCGAAATGTTTATGGCGGAAGGTCCACAAACCCATGTACCAGAAGCGCATTCATAAAAAATAGGCTGAGGCGTTCCACAGCTGCACACCTAACACTACAAAGGCAAGAAGCGTGTCAAAGTGGTACTAACAGCACACTTCCATGACCAACGCCACGTGCATCCGCTATCTAGCAACAGGAATTCCTTATCTAGCTTTAAGGACACCTGAAGGATCCTTTATATATGCGTTGCACTTTGCCCTTTTTATTTTCAAGGCTTCAAAATCTTCACGTTTATTCCATTTCTTCCTTTTCCGATGACACTGATATATCGTGGATGCAGAGACTAGCGAAGATGTCGGTTTTGTGCCTGAAGGATTTTCGCACTGCCCATAGGTGTCAGCAAGCCTCAACCAGTCTGATCTCTGTAAAGACGGTTGCAAGACGCAAGAAAAAAAAAAAGACTGAATGCAAAACTCGTGAAGCCTTCTAAATAAAACAGAGTGAAGTGTCAAGTGTGATGATTCCCCAGCTTTCCTCACAGATAAAGGACTTACGGTATAGACAGCGGGTACACTTGGCACTGATATTTTGGTGTTCCAAGGAAATCAGCTGCTTATACCACCTTGAAACATTTGTTGCAAAAAAAGTAGGGTTAATTGTGTATCTGTGGCTTAGATATCCTTTTTAAGCAAGTGCTTCTGGTTAATTTGTGTAGGGGCTTTCTTTAAAAACATTTAGTTGTAAGCCCTGCACTTGCCTTTCCTGGTTCCTACGCTGCATTCGTGTTTTTTGTTGGTTTCTTAGATGGGTGAAGATCATTCCTATTATTATCATGCGGGCATAGCAACCACCCTTTCTCACTCTCCCATATTTCACTATAGTGAACGCACACAAAAGGTCGTCATCAACGCGTCACGTGATTGGGAGATGTGTCCCAATTATAAGTCAGCAAACTCACTGATGAGTCAATCAGAGGAATTGAAGACTAAGATTGAGATGTGAGCCAGAGTTCGAGTGAGACCGGCTGAGTTTTACCACGGTGAGTCTGAGTTCGACCGAGTACGATTCAGCAAAATTTTGGTTAGTGTGGGTTCTTGTGAGTCCTATGCGAAAAAAAAAAAACTTTTTTAATGAGGGTGTCTTTTTGTTTTGCTGACCTCTGGTTATAAATACTTTTAGTCTCATTTTATATCGTGCATGTTCCTGCTTGTAAAGCCACAAGATTTATTTTCCAAATTGTAAATCTGTCCAACTCCCCACACCCTTGCAACTTATTCCAGTGAAGGCTATTAATGAAAACAACTTGCCCATATCTTCGAATAAGTATGATCACCTTAAAACTTAAAGGCGCGGAATGAAACGGAATGAAACGGCACTACAAAATGCCCCACTGAGATGAGATAACATTAAAATGCTAACACGACTGAGAAGATAATGTATACTGCCCATTTCCAACGTGCACAGCTATTTGTAACTTTGTCTGCAGAGTATTTAGTCATGGAGCAATTGCCGTTTGCGGCAGCAAGATTTCACAATTTGAAGTTTGAATTTCCAAAAAGATGTTAGAAGTTTCTCCTAAAAAACCCGCAATTTCTGGTGATGTAATAGTGATTTTGTGCGTCGCACTCGCTTCAACTTTAGTGCTAATAGGTAATGCGTTTATAGAGTACACTGTTCACCGACTATGACAAAGTATAATGAGCAATTTATGTTTATCCATGCTACAAAGCTCATATGATCTTTCCTAAAAGAACGTATATCGAATTTCAATAATAATGAGAAAAAAATACTGAATAATTATTCGTAACTCCATCATTGTGTATCTACTGTAATTCACAGTTGTCGAAAATGAATGAACATGGCTTTGAGAGGGCATGGAAGTGGGTTATAAAGCATGTTCTGGCGCATTAGCAGTTCCCGGGAATCTCATTAGGCAACATCTTGATATACATTGAGTTTGATCCACAATTATGTACCAAATCAAAAGAGAATGAGCACTGTATTTTACCTTCATAAATCATGCGGCTTACAAGGCGATAGAGCAGCACGATTTGCGAGCATCGAGTGCGCCTTCGCTCTTTCAAATACCTGTCCTCTGACGCCGCTTCCGTTTTTGCATGAATAATTGGGGCTAATTGAAAATTACGGAGTGCAAAATAAAATATTCACAAGAACGAGAAAAACAGCACGGGCACTTGTGAATGCACTGTCGATGCATTGTTTTGCACTAAAAAAGTTTCCAATAGAAAAACACCATCTCAACAAATTTCAAGTTTTGTTAAAAATGTAGTGAACACACATGCTATCAGCTTTTACATCATTTCCTGCCATGTGATACGTTGAAAGCTTTTCGAGTGGATTTCAAGAAGACAAGAAGCAGGAACACACCGCTCCTCCCGTGCGCAACGGTTAGTTACTAGAAAAAATAAACCCCTTAAACTGTAATGCTGTCAAATATTTTTCGTGACTCCCTCAGAACTTGAGGTGCTTCTAAACATATTGCCAGCATGTCTGATATTCAGGACTCCGTACCGACACAGGAAAGCAGTGCCCGTTTTTCTTTTTTTTTTTCTTTTTCTTTCTCATTCAAACATCTCTCCATCCATAATGAGATATGACACGCAGAAAACTTTCGGCAGTTCGTCATTCGTCATTGTGTTCGCCCAGTCCATTCTTCGAAAAGCTTGACGACACGGGCATTTCCCAGGCTCAAGTTACTCAAACCTAAGCTTTTGCATTCTTTGTATGCCCCAAGCAATGCAGACAGGCTAAAAAAAACAGCAATGAACTCTACACACTGGGTTCAGGGTGTGCAGCACCCTGAACCCAGTGTGTAGCATCTGTATTACCTCAAAGCTGAACATTTGGCAGAAAGAAGAATGTTGGGATAACAAAAAAAATGGAAAAAACAGAAAACTCCAGCCAATATTTATATTAGGAAACCCGATTTTAGAAGCCTGATCAGTTTTTTTTTTTTTTTTTCAGGGGTGAGAAGGCCCGAGATGTTCGCCACGACTCGTTGCAAGCCCTGGAAGTAGAGCGAGGGCAGTGTCTCCAGTGATGCTCTCGTTGTCTCTACTGTCTGCTGACTGCGCCAGAATTCAAAGGGGAGCTGCCGGTGAAGGTTTCTTTCTGTTTAGAAGATCACCGCGCCGTCGAAACTGGTATGGTGGCCAACCCGCTTACAGTGTTCTGCCTCTGCACTACGTTCACTGTTCATTTGACGGAAGTCATTCCTGTGCTGTCATATTTTTTCATGGAATTTCTTTGTTTAGCCGGCAATCGCGATTTTGCACATGACGGCCTGTGCTCTGCCTGCAGGTGCAAGGTCTTTCCACCAGTGGATGAAACTACCTATGGTGATAGAAGGCTTGTGGCAACGTTGACTCCTGCCTTTATAACTTCGCTGGCGCGCACAATGTAGCTGATCGACAAGTGGCGTTGTTGCAGCGCGGTTGTCACATTTTCTCCTTTTTTATTAGGTAGGGCTCTGCTAATAAACGCCTTTCTAAATAAATGTTGGTGCTGAGATAACGGATTATTTTCTCCCTTTCACTGCTGTGGTGACGAGTGGTTATCAGATGATTGATATTTTGATTGAGGTTTTTACGTTTGTTCATATTTCTTCATTCTGGTCCCAAAAGGTGATTTCGAACATTTATGTACGTGTATAGTAGCTTTTCAGGGGAAGCTTGCAGTAACTGATCTGGAAGGCTGGTAAGATCAGGTAAACTCGTTTCACTTACAATTTATTGATATGATTGATATGTGGGGTTTAACGTCCCAAAACCACCATACGCTTATGAGAGATGCCAAGGTGGAGGGCTCCGGAAATTTCGACCATCTGGGGTTCTTTAAAGTGCACCCAAATCTGAGCACACGGGCCTACAACATTTCCGCCTTCATCGGAAATTCAGGCGCCGCAGCCGGGATTCGAACCTGCGACCTGCGGGTCAGCAGCCGAGTACCTTAGCCACTAGACCACCACGGGAGGGCATTTCACCCACAACTGGCAAGTACAACACAAAGCTTAGGGGAGGGGGGGGGGGGGGGGTCATGAGAAGGCATGAAGGTAGCACAGCAAGATGAAAAAAAAAAAAAAAAAGGATCTTTTGCGCAACGAAGCGTTGCTAAAGCCTTTGCAGCAGCCATTTATCTTTACGACTAACTCCACTTCCAGTCCTACATTACGCCCTATGCCCCCCGTCCCCAACACACTGTGATAGGGGATAAGACTGGTGCCCATCATAAATAGCCTCCCCCCCCTTTTTTTTTCTTTTGGACTTCATGAGCAAAAGAGAAATGTCACTTTTTTTTTTACAACCCACAGCTGGAAAGTCCGAAAGCTATATTAACTATAATTCGAGTGTACGTGTCGTCCATCCACTGTCTGATGTTAGCGCTGTGGTCAATACAGGCCTAAAACAGGCTGTCGATGCTCAATATCAGTGCAAAATAAATGAGAGGTTCTGAAATAATGCAAACTACATGATCAACCCAAAATTATTCATGATAATGTATCTGAAATAACGATAAATTCTTCCGAAATTGCTGCTGTTACCTGAAGCCTAATATCGCGGCTACAGACTGCTATAAGTGGCAATGCGCTACAAGTAGGCTGCGCGGGCCAACGTTTACAGATACTTCCACAGAACCCCTTTATGGATACTACATTGGCGCGGGCTGCGCCATGAAAACTAGGCGATGAGGTTTTCGGGCAACGAGACATCTACATGTCGCGACGTGGAATAGCTGTAAATACTGTTACCGTATGGGCGTAACCCTAGTGAACGTTTTATATATCAGCACGAACACGAAAACCGTACTTGCGTCTGGAGTTGGAGAGCCGCTGTTTACCTCTAACCGCGGTGTGGGCAGGGTTTCATCATGATTGCTCCGCTTGTTGACCGCTTCAAGGTAGCTAATGAAAGGGCAGCACCCGATACAGTAGAGTGGTACCGGCAATGTCTTGCAAAAGTTCGTCAGCTGGTCTGTCTCAACAGAGCTGCTGATACGCGAAAAAGTGAGACACAATAAACAACGCAGCTTTCAACACAGAGTGATTCCAGTCAATCTGAGCTTATGACCGCTTAATTCGATGAGCGGCAGTGCCGAACGTTACCGTAGCAGATGCAAACATCCGTGAGACCGTGGACGTAACACAAGCAGTAGTTATAAATATGTCTGGACGTAGCGCTACCGTTCGCTATAGTTAAGTCGGGACCTAACAATTCCTTTGCTTACAGTTACGTCTGGGCGTTACCCTAGCCACCCTTTTTTCAGAAAACTCGCCTAAAGAACAACGAAAGAGGAGGGCTTATGCACGTTCGCTTGCGGACGGCTCTCTTGTACCACCCATTTATGGCTGGCGGGGCGATAGGGGCACTAATGGCGGCATTTTTGCAGCGCCGCATGGGCAGAGTCTGAGGTCTATAGCAGCACACGGTCACATACACTGCAAGGGTGTCTCGTTGATTATCTTGATTGGTTTCATTTTTTACACTACAGTAATTATCCAAATAATATTGCACCATTTCGAGGTTGAGCTGGTATGTTGGCGCTGTAAAAATTCGCTCAATACACACTACAACATTTCAATAGCATAACGCATTTCAAGATTACCCGCCCACAGAGCTCGATAAAAGAAGGCAGTGGATATTCATCCTGCAGAATAGCACGAGCGGAACTTGGCCGGCAGTGTTTACTCATTGGCCGGCTGCAGTCACTAGGCTAATGCAGGCTTCGTGCAAAAAAACACGCTTTGCCGGCACTTCTTTACGCGAACGGCCGTGAAGTTGTAGGCCCGTGAGCTCAGATTTGGGTGCACGTTAAAAAACCCAGGTGGTCGAAATTTACGAAACCCTTCACTACAGCGTCTCCTAATCATATGGGTGGTTTGGGACGTTAAACCCACATGTCAATAAATCAACAGTAAAGTAGCATTTTTTTTTTTTTGAAATTGTAGTTTTGGTTTCCACGCTGCCGCCGAAAAGTGGCTGTGCGCTGCCGCCGATCAATTTTCCCGGCGTGCTTCGCCGCCGTCGCCTCGTAACAACCCCAACACTGCCACCGATCAAAGCCGCCTTGGCGCACACTCTAGTTGAGGGGCTGTATGGCTCCTGGTTGCAAAGATGAGCGAGTGCTCACCTTTCCGTTAGCGCTCATTTGGGCACTCCAGTTCTAGGCGACGCACCGAAAGAGTTATTAAGAAAAAAATATGAAAAGTAACGTTAAATAGCAAACACGCAGTACACAATGCGATAGCCCACCGTTTGCGTGCAGATACGCTCAGCGGTGACGCTCTCGAAGAAAGCACCACTGCAGTTCGTGTAAACTCGGCCGTGTTAACAATCTGCAGCATGACGCACTAGTTTTTGTGAAGATATCCCAAACGCCATATTGCTTGTCCACTTTCGCGAGCGCGTGCTCCACGAACAGACGCCACCGGCGTACCCTTTCAGCATACCCGAGGCATGGCCGCTCGATGAACACACGGTGCAGCAGTGCCCGAGCTGCCCAAGCGTCTGGCAAATCCAGTGCGCCCCCGTGTTATCGCATTGGTGTTTTCCTGGTGGACACTCTAGAAGTGCTGCTGTGGTTGCTGATTGATTGATTGATTTGTGGGGTTTAACGTCCCAAAACCACCATTTAATTATGAGAGACGCCGTAGTGGAGGGCTCCGGAAATTTTGACCACCTGGGGTCTTTAACGTGCACCCAAATCTGAGTACACGGGCCTACAACATTTCCGCCTCCATCGGAAATGCAGCCGCCGCAGCCGGGAATCGAACCCGCGACCTGCGGGTCAGCAGCCGAGTACCTTAGCCACTAGACCACCGCGGCGGGGCCGCTGTGGTTGCTGGAAGAGGAGGTAGAGGCAAAGGGGTGCGATTGGCACTACTTTAGTTTTTTTTTTTTTTTAACACCTGATGCTCCTCTAGGTATTATAGTATGAAACTCTATGCAATCCTCCAAGCAATGTCCCCTTTCCATTCCGACGTAACGAAAATATGGAATGATTACAGAATCATTCCAATTCCGGAATGGGAACTCTGCTACACTGCTCGTAAGGAACACGTTAAAAAAAAAGTGATTACGCACATTAAAGCACTCAGATTTGACCGAGTTTACAAACACGCAGAAACGCAATCGTTACTTGATCCAAAAAATCAAGTCGGCAAGAGTGGCACGTTAAATGCTATAGTTGTAGAGAAATGCTGCCGACTCAAGCGAAATTTCCCTAGATTTAGGGGATTTTGTTGCACTTAGGGAAAAAGAAAAATTTGTCAACATCTAGGGAAATTTTTTTGCTTCCACGTGAACCAAGCATGTCAACGGGGGAACCTTTCGCCCACACCCTATTTTTTGTTCCTCCATCTATTGTTCTCTTTTACAACCTTCTACTTTATACTATGACATTTTCCACCGTCAGCACGGTAATTTCAGTGAATACTTTCAAACGAATGCACCATTATATCATGAAAATGCACTTTGAAATCGTTTTCCACATAACAAACACATTAGTCTTCAAAAAACCTCTCTCTACGAAAATCTAGGGAATTAATTGACTCCAACAAGAAAAAAAGTGGCTCCGCTAGTTGGCAGCACAATACACCTCAGATCTTGAGTTTTGCGGACATACAGCACAACCTGTCGACGCAGTTTTGAGTAGTGCAAAGCCCGACTCCCGGTGCAACTAACGCGTACGAAACAACAATTGAACTAAAAATTACATGCATTTGCGCATTGAACAATCAGAAAAAGGGCTACACATCTCTCTTCGCTAGTCGAACGCGTCACCGAACCGTCGTGAAGTGCTTGCTGGTTCACTCGCCTGATTGACGGCAAAAACAAGAGCAGACGCAAAAGCTCCGCGCTCTACGAAAAAAGACACCAGTCTGCATTACTGCTGCGTTGTGAATTGCCACAGACGTAAATGAATTTAGTTTAACCGACTTCCGCAGCTTTCACAAAGCAGAATGGCGAAAACGCTAAGTACAGGCCGTTGCGAACGTGTTGGGTAAGCGTATTACTCGAGTTCTCCACAGCCGTTCGCTTGAGTAAGGGTGATAATGTAGGTCTCCTATAACTGTTTTCAGTAGCCTTGACAGAGAACCGTGGTAACTTCAATTATAAAGCTTAACAGACCCTCCAACCGCGGTGCGCGGTGTGCAACGATAGACAGGTGACCCCTCGATAAACATCGCGTACGCCGTGAGCACCGACAATCTGAAGTTGTTGCCCCCTCACAACATTACGCACGTAGAGATTTGAAGGCTCTATAGGTTCCGGCTTTAACTAGGAAATGTGCATCATACAGCTAAATCGCAAAATGATCGCGACTACAATCAGTTTTTTTTTTGCCATTGGTTTTTGTGGTTACCGGAGCTATTACGGATGCATCGGTTCTGCCTTTCGTTGTGCACTGAGAAAGTGGACAAGCATGTAGCCTCATTTGCAGTATGTACAAAGAGAAGACAACCGTTTTACCCAGCATTTAACCAGGACCAGATTTAGAGTATACAGAATGCAAGCTGGA